AAAAATGTATTCAAAAGATTTTACCACAAAACACACACAAAAAAGAATAAACAAAGTAAAAAAAAGATTTTGCCACCAAAAAGTAATTTGTTTGATATGCTGTGGAGTGAGAGGTCCATAAGTGACAATGTCGAGGGCCTACTAAAGTATTAAGTACTAAGGAATTTGGACTATTTTAAAATAGCAAAATGCTTTTTCCTTCTAAATTAAATGAAGCATTAAAGAATAAAAATGAGTAAAAGCCTGTATTAAAAGTCATATCCTTTAATATGTGCCTTTCTTCCCTTATCTTTATCTTCCTTTCAGAAATTCCCTATAGAGTTTCCCAAAACTCACATCCAATAAACAGCCTGCAGCCCCGAGTGACATATGTCCTGTGGATGACAGCTCTGACAGCTGCTGGCGAAAGTTCCCAAGGAAATGAGAGGGAAATTTGTTTGCAAGGTGAGAGGCAATGTTAAAGATGGCGAGTCCACCATGGATTCTTGCACAGGCATGCATTCCCACTGCATTTGGCATAGAGATGATCAGATTTTCTTTAATTCACTAATAACTTTCTTGCTGTCCCCTGCACTTGCTGTTGCTTCTAAATAGAATGTTTTACCACTCTCCTATCTTCTTCTTGGAGACAGTGTCTATTCAGGTTTCAAAATTCACCAGAAATGCTTTCTCGTTCAGGAAGCCTTCCCAAATGCTCCTCCATAATGCACTTACATTTAACTCCTACTCAAAACTCTGAATCCAGTAGGCAGGGACTGATATCTGTTTATCTCTGCCTTTAAGCCCTAGCATGGTGCCCAGCAGATAGTACTTTCTCACTACGTATCTGTTCCATGAATGATGAGAATCACATCAACAATAATAAAAGCAGCTATTGCATATGCAACAGGCATTCTGTTACGTGCTTGGCATACTACATTAATTTGCTGGGGCTGCTGTAATGCAGCACCATAAACTGTGTGGCCTCATCCACAGAAATCTATCGTGTCATAGTTCTAGAGGCTAGAAGTCCGAGACCAAAGGGTCAAGAGGGATGGTTCCTTCGGAGCGCTACGAGAGAGAATCTATTCCAGGCCCTCTCCTGTCTTCCAGTAGTTTGCAGGCAGTCATTGATACTACTTGCTCGTAGGTCTCTGCTTTCATCTGGCATTCTCCATGTGTCCAAATTTTCTCCTTCATATAAGGACACCAGTCATATTGGATTAGGGGCCCACTCTACTCCAGTATGACCTCATCTTAACTAATTATATCTGCAATGACCGTATTTTCAAAAGCGGTCACATTCTGAGGCTGGGGGTTTAGGGCTTCGTCATATAAATTTGAGGATCACACAGTTCAACCTAAAACATATAGTTTTGCTAATTTTTCCTTACCAAAATTACATGGTTACACCTATCCCATCCTACCAGACACTATGAAATGAATGAAAAAATGAAGGATTATCATGTCTTTTTTAAAGTGAGGTGACTAAGGTACAGAAAGATTACTCAAAGTCATGGAAGTGGTAAGTGGCAGAACTACAAATTAAACTCAGATTTTAGTTGCTTAAATTAAATTAGAGTCGGTTGAATAAGTGACCCAGCTAGCATGGGCTTCCCTCCACCAGCTAAGTTACACTGTTCTCTCTAGCAATGCTCATTTGCATCTGCTCTAAGCATAAAACAAGCTGTTCTTGCTTTGTGACATGAAGCATCAAGTTCATCATTCAAGAGACTTTGTTGTTCTATGCCAGGAAACTCTCCATTGGGAAACTGACAAGACTTCTCATCTCTCCAGCACTCCCATGAAAGATAACTTGCTCGATTAATGTAGATTAAGGATGCAGACAAAAATTAGCCTGAGTGGTGGTGCACACCCATAATCCCAACTACTCAGGAGGCTGAGGCAGGAGAATCACTTGAATCCAGGAGGCAGAAGTTGCAGGGAGCTGAGATCATGCCACTGCCCTCCAGCCTGGGTGATAGAGCAAGACTTTGTCTCAAAAGAAAAAGGAAAAAGGACTTAGCATCCTTCTACTGGTCCTACTCCAAACTTGTTCCATCTGCCCAGAAAGGAAAGCAGATGCTGAAGAAACGTGAGATTTGGCCAAGTGCTGTGGCTCACCCTATAATCGCAGCAATTTGGGAGACTGAAGTGGGAGGATTGATTGAGCACAGGAGTTCAACACCAGCCTGGACAACATAGCAAGACCCCATCTTGATGAAAGAAAGAAAGAAGGAAAGAAGGAAAAGAAAGTAGCTGGGCATGGTGGTGTGTGCCTGTAATCCCAGCAACTCAGGAGGCTGGGGCAGGAGAATTGCCTGAACCCGGGAGGCGGAGGTTGTGGTGAGCCGAGATCGCGCCATTGCACTCCAGCCTGGGTAACAAGAGCAAAACTACGTCTC